TCCAGAACATGATGCATGATGGGATACACTAAGCCTCGAATAGCGCTCCGGAGCGGATTAGAAAGATAGTGTGGATTTAGTGTGCGTTAAGGGCACTGCGCTGTGGCGTGTTTAAAAGTACAGAAACACACACATATGAATTATATATATCAGGCAACCATATGATACAATGATTAGCCTAGATATTAGTTTTTGTAATGGCGATGACAGGCTAATTTAATTGGCATTATTGTTACTTTTTAGTCAACAAAGCTAGGATTCTTGCCTCTTTTGGTGCAATATTAGCACCAAGGGCTGGATATATAGCCTATATATATATATATATTTATTTTTTTATTTAATTTTTTTTTCCTCACAAAAAAGCGGTTCTCACAAAAAAAAGTATTAATGAAAACGAGATCAACTGTCAGGTGAAAAGTCTGAAAAAAAGAGCTTATGCAATTACTCCACTGTGATGTTTGCATCTAAAATTCATCATGATTATCTTTGTTGTGGAGTTTTAAATTAGTTGTGTTTACTGTTGCACTGGACACAATCAAAGCATTAAACGATAGAGCTGCTTTTTATATATGTTCCTGATAGCCTTTATTCTGTGGATTTTAAGTGCTCTAATTAAATGTGGAGACTTAATTACTCCATGCCATTAAATAAAAGCAAACCTTTGTCACAGAGTTATGCACACAAACTGTAGACCTTCACTGGTTATTATTATTGAGAACTGGTAGCATAAAAATTACCACCCCAAATTAAAATAATATTTAATCCCTATTTAAACTGTCAAAGTCAGTTTCTATTAGTGGCCTAATTTTTATGGGATGGTGGTTCAAGCTGAACTTTCACCTTTAAGTCAATTAGTGGATTTAAGACTAACATATTGATACTAACACCCAAAAAACGTTCATTTTGATTTCATGGGGACTTTAAACTTAGCTGCCTCTTTATCCTTGTGACCCTGGGAAGAAATCAGCAACTTGAAAGCATCACGTCCCCTTTTTGTCGTTCAGGTTTAATTCCATTGTCTTTACCAGATCAGCACTGGTTGAATGAGTGGTAACTTGGTTTCAGACTCATTGCTCTGCATCCACAAGCTGTGAACCATGACAAACTCAAAGAGACTCCCAAGACTATAACAGACTGTGTCATTTATGCCGTTTGGTGTGTGTGTTCGAGTGTGAGGGTGGGTTGAAGGCCAAGGCATGAAAGAGGGCCACGATTTCACCCCTTTAGTCACCTGTGGAGAAGCCCCAGGGTGAGAAAATAAAGACTAGCTGTGGATTGGCTGTGCAGTGGTAAACCCACTATGTGACCACTTTTAGTAGCTCCACCCATCATGCCACCCTAGAAGGTTTTTCAGTGCATGAGCTCTGCAGCCATTCAGTGCTCTGACGGCTGAATAATGTGGTGAAAAAGAGGATTATCGTTGCTGAATGCGCACCGTTTTGGTTGTAAAATGTTCGTAAAGACATGCTTGCAGAGATGAGCATCCCTGAATACATTCAGTGCATTCAAAAGGTCTCCATGTTAAGGCAAAGGTTAAATACTGTAAAAAAAAAATAAAAATTATAATTTTAGTCTTTCTACTTAAAAATTCCACATTTAATTCAATGTGTTACTTCTCATTTAATTTGACTGAAACCAAATTTTGTTCAGTGAGCAAGCAAGCCAAGAGCAAGCTAGCCAAGTTCATGTTTATGAAAATTTTTTATATTTCATTGCATTCTATAACAAAAAAAAAATACAATAAAATAACAAAATAAACAAACAAATAAATAAGTAATAATAATAATTTTACATTTATAATAAACATGGAGTGCAACATTTTCTCTCAGTAAATTTCGCAAACAATTACAAAGAAACTGCAACGTAACAATGAAGTAGACATGAAATATTAAAGTAGAAAGACAAAAATAGTATTTATTTACAACTTTGAAAAATCTATTTTTTTCCCCTTATCAGCAGGAAATTATATAACTATACTGCAATCCCATGATAGTTCGTAATTATCCAATAATATTAGATCTATCTCAGAAAACAAAATTATGAATAAGTTGGTAAATCCCCAAAAAACGTGATCAACAGATGTAATGTATAGTGAGAGTGACAGACCTGGGCCATCGAGCCATACTTATTTTTCAGCCCTGCATTCTCATTCACATTCACATTATTTATTATGTCTGATCTCCCACTAAATCTTAGAGCTTCATTGCTCACGTATAACAACATGTACAAAGGCATATATATTAGTCAAAAGTTTCAGGCTGACCTCGTCTTTGTTTCAGAGCCCAGGTGGCATTTCATGAGTGATTCTGGGTGCCCCTTTTGTTCAGGGGTTCCAGTGTGTGCCAAGAAGACCGGGTACATTTCCATAGGCAGCTGACCCATGAGCATGGGGCCCAATACAAAGCAGGATTTATGAGGCCGTGGAGAGGAGAGGGGACAGAGCAAACCTCGGACCAACAGTTCACTTACAGATCATTCAAACCAAATAAAATGAGACTCAGTCAAGTTTTATTTATAAATTGTATTATTGGAAAAAAGCTGAATTATTCATAAAAAAACTGATACAAAATGAAAATGCATTATTAAAAACTGAATATTGAGTGATGCTTAAATAAAGCAACTTTTTGTAAATTGCATTCTCAATTCTGTTTGAATGCATCCCTACAAAATATTAACTTTTTGAAAAAATTCAACATAAATTTCATGGTGTTTACTTAAAATATATATAAAATTTATAAAATTTAAAGTGCATGGTGATTGTAGTTATATAAATTGCTTATTGCTATTTGATGTAACTGACCCGTAGTAGTATGCACTGGTAACTTGAACTCTTTAAACTCGCTTGAAGCATTAAATCTAATTTTGTGCAACAGGAAAGCACATTTGAACTAGTTACATGTTCCAGTACATCCTTAAATAAACAAGAAATAGAGAATTAAGAGTTTAACTTCAATGCCACTTTTATTTTCAGGACATTAAAGGGATAGTTCACTCAAAAATGAAAATTTGATGTTTATCTGCTTACCCCCAGGGCATCCAAGATGTAGGTGACTGTGTTTCTTCAGTAGAACACATATGATGATTTTTAAGTCCAGCCGTTGCAGTCTATCAGTCGTATAATGCATGGCAATGGTAACAAAATCTATGAGAGTAAATAAAACATGCACAGACAAATCCAAATTAAACCCTGCCGCTTGTGACGACACATTGATTTCCTAAGACACGAAACGATCGGTTTGTGCGAGAAACCGAACAGTATTTATATAATTTTTTGCCTCTAATACACCACTATGTCCAACTGTCTTTGGGCGCGCGCAGGCATCTGGTGCGTGAGGTGTGTACGCGCTCTGGTGTAGTTTACGTTAATGGGTGTGTTGATATCCAGCCGAAGAGCAATCAACCATAACTTCAGGCGAGCAGGCTCAGAAGTTGGGAATATGTGGAAAGTCACCACTCCCGAATGAGTTCGCGCGAGAGAACGTAATCTTTTAGTTTTAAGTCGGTTTGAACAATCCGGATAAGCGCAAGTAAGTACCATTTTGATTAGCCGTCGTACCTATAATGACCGTGCACTGTGTAAACAATGAGTGACGTATACGCGCGAGAGAACACTTCCGGCGCTTGCGTAAACTACACCAGAGCGCGTACACACCTCACGCACCGGATGCCGTGCGCGCGCCCAAAGACAGTTGGACATAGTGGTGT